ATAATAGAAATTATAATAGTAAAACATTTCTTATTTAATAACTATAATTGGGACTATGAACAATCCCGTTCGATCTCTATTAGAGCTGGAACCACATCGACAGTACACAAAGAAATACATTGATCAATTTCTACTTATGTATACTTTGTTTGTGATATTACTTCGTTAGCGGTGCATCGACGACTCGTCGATAACACGTCTGACAGTCTGACACAGTAATGCAGTTTAAAACCGACGTCAGTTTTGCTGCGTGTTTCTTACTTTTCGGCCCAGCTCATTCTAGAGGTCATCAAAAATTGCAGACCGGTTTTGGGGCCGCGAGGTCCCATAAGGCTGCCACTCTTTAGTAATCTCTCCTCGGTGCATACATTTATATTACAGATGAAATATTAGTCTGTATGAAAAAAATTATTGTAATTAATCTTTAAACGAAGATTATATTTTCGTTCATTTTTTAATCAAAAACGATTGGTGGCTTAATCGAGTGATGACCAACTGTGGGAAATGGTATCGGCGGCGGTTACGGTAGTTTATTATAGAGCTGGCAATAATAATGTTCAATCATGTAATGACGGAGGTCTCAATTTGAGATAAGTGGCGCCATGGCCTGAAATTTCAATTCCAATTCTCCCGCACCTGTAATTTGCTCGTAATGGATCTCAGAAAGAGAGAAAACACTCGATTCGCATAGATGTTCTGCTGTTATTTAAAAAAAGTCGATTACTATACACGCGTCGAAAGTGAAGATCGACAATTTGTATGTTAATGATCTGCATCTAATTACGCTACCGTTTTGCATGAAACATCTCACGCGTTTCTACGATGTTAGAATCATTAATGCCTATAATTAAACATAGACTTCATTTCTAGGTTCCTGTCTCGTAACATAATTTTATTTCTTCTCCGTTTACGATATTAATTATAATTTTTATCTGTGCATAAATTTGCACGGCGAATTAGACAATGTTTAAAATCTCGAGCTCGCTCACAAAATTTCTGCATGAAAAGTAAGTATGAAAAGTGTTTCTTGGAAGAGGATGGTCTACTTTCCATTTTAGAAGTACTACGAAAAAAGCTCTCACGTGATTTTCATGTACCATAAAACATCTTTAAAGGTGCACTCTCTCCGGAACGTGCGTGCCGTCGGTAGTAACATGCATGGAGAAAATTACCATAACTGATGCACGGCGAGCATAAAAGGGCTGTTATAAAAAAAAACGATCACGGTCTTGTAATCAGCACAATCCACCGTGATATCTTGGCAAAACGTTTTCGGATTATCCGCTTCCCAAATCTTTTTGGATTTAACAAAAAGATGTAAATTTCGAAGTATAATCTTGTTCACATTATATCTTCCGCATCTAAATAGGACCAATCGAGAATTTGCAGCTTCTTAGGATATTATCCGACGATCGTTCGCTCTCGATTCGCGCGTGACTCGAATCGAGACGAGCCGCGACCCGCATTCGCGACGAAACCCAAGGTCGCCTCCGGTGGGAAAAGCTCCCTCGCGAAAGGCGTGAAAGACAGAACCGACGGGTTCTTCACGATGCCCGGTGTCCCTCCCTTTATAGAAAATCCGATCCAGTTCGATTCGACTTTTTACTGATATTCACGTCAATTTATCCGGTACATTGTCTGGATGCGAGTTTCACTCTCGAGACTCGAAAGCGAACGCGTACCCCCCGTCCGTGAATTCTGAGAACGAGAAATCCAAGTATATAAAAGCTAGGAAATCCAAGCGACTGATTTACTTGTATCTAGTTTGGATTGGGAGATCGTGCAATTCTGATTCTGATACGATCTCGAGATGAATCAAGCGGTACGTGCATGTGTTTTTCAATTTAGAGTGATCGATCAGTGTTACAGTGTTCGTAGAGATGACGTGAATTTATATTCTAGTGATTGATGATTTTTTTTTCTAGAGGAGCGTGGTGATTCTGTTGATACTCTTCGTCGCTGTAACGTCCAGTTATACCGTCAGGAAGAAGAATCCGATTTCCAAATATGGTTACCGGACCGTTTACGTAAGGCCGCAGAGATACGTTAGGTATCACAGGAATAATCGGGCTATGGAACAAGCAGTGTTCAGCGCATTGCAGAACAGGACCAGGGGATCCAGAGCAGCTCTCGTTAGGAAGCAATGTACGTAGACAACATAATAAATTCAAAATTTATACGGAGTTCAAATAAAAAAATGAGATTAATGCAATTACAGATGACCCCCAAAACGAGTCCGTGGAAGATCAGCAACAGGAGGCTGGGCATTTAGATGAAATAATTCTAAAAGACAATCAGCTGAAGGACGAGGCGTTGGGAGGAATTTACGAACAGGACGTACCACCAGGAGTACCTCACAGCGGTCAGATTTTAGGGCAGCAAGTCCTCGAAGACGTGCATAAAACAGTGACGGTGATAAAAAAGGTAGCCGTGCCCTACCCTGTAGAGAAAACCGTGCGCTACCCTGTCGTGAAGAATATTCCCTATCCCGTCAAAGTGCCCGTACCACAACCGTACGCGATCGAGAAGAAGGTACCGTATCCCGTAAAAGTTTTCGTCAAAGTACCGCTCAAAGTACCAAAACCGGTGCCTGTGATAAAAGAGGTACCGTATCCGGTTCACGTGCTCGTCGATCGCCCCGTGCCGGTAAAGGTCTACGTGCCAGATCCTTTCCCAGTCGAGAAGAAGGTTCATTATGAGGTCAAGGTTCCGGTCCCCGCGCCGTATCCCGTCCAACGTAAGATACCGGTGCCGGTAAAAGTAGCAGTGCACGTACCTCAACCTTATCCGGTTGAGAAGATAGTTCACTATCCAATAAAAATTGAGGAGGAGCAGCCGGTTCCGGTACCGGTACCCAAACCTTATCCCGTGCACGTGTCTAAGCCGGTACCCTATCCCGTAGAGAAACCCGTGCCCGTACCGGTCAAAGTCGAGGTACCACGGCCTGTACCTTATCCTGTCGAGAAACCAATCCCTGTCAAAGTTAAGATCCCGGTACCGGAGCCTTATTATGTCGAGAAGAATGTACCTTATCCGGTCGAAAAGCCCGTGCCAGTGCCTGTGAAGGTACCGGTAGAACAATCGGTGCCTGTACAAGTGACGAAAACTGTAGGGATACCGATTGACAAGCCTGTACCTTATCCGGTCAAGGTGTCCGTTCCCGTGCCGGTGCACGAGGGTTCATCTGGGGCTGGACACCATCAGTGGAGTCGGTGAATAGGATAGATTGGATTGAATGAGATTCATGTTCTTTAATCTTCACGATTTGAATGAGGTTTATACGAATTTGTCGTGTGTCGAGTGTTTGGTAATTAGTTTTTAAGTTATTTGTATTTGAGGTAATTTATAATAAAGAGTACAACAATTTTACAGAATTATTAATTCTTATAGATGTGTATGTTTCATGAAAAGGAAGAGCGATCATCTCTAAATCGTAATTGTGTAACTCGGTCAACTATTTTCAGACATAAATGAACTTTCACGAGGTTTGTTTAATTCACTTCTTATTTAAATTACTGCCACGTGCTAGGAATATGGAAATGTTCCAATAAAAAGAGAACAGAACCGGAAGCGAGGAAGGAGAAATTGAGATCTTTTCTCCGCGTAAATAAAGCGAAACCATCAGCAATCGACTTCATTCTAGTCACGTTCGCTTTCGCTTCCATGTAATTGCATTGTCGTTGTCCCCATGGAGTATCTGATTCTCGCAAATCGCGATCCGACGTTTATCGAAACTTTGCACATGATCAAAACTGATCTCATTGCATTGTAATTAGACTAAATTTGAAAACAACTGTCTTAAATTTGCAATAAAAAAATCATAAAATGACGAAGCTTCCAACATTAGAAAAAATCGGTTTCCGATCCGATTTTCAGTTTCGGAGACATCGATTAAAGCAGGGACGAACTGACGGCTTGCAACTTTTACCCTTCTCTTGGCTTCTCCTCTACAGGCGTGGCTCTCAACCAAGAAGTTCTAAAGGCAATTGAAATTTTTCGACAGTGTTGTCGCTCTTCTTTTCACATAGCTTCGATCTCTCGCACCGTGACCTAGTCATTGACCTACCCAAATCCCTACTGACCCGTCTAGACGCTACTCGAGGAAATAACCTTCCTATTCTGACTATCGAAGTGGGACAAGGATTTCTGAAGATAGGCCGAGGCGTTCAAACGTAAAACTTCGAAGGCTTACATATCCGGAACGAATTGAGACAAGATGAATCAAAAACCATCTTTCTTGTCTTGACTTCTTCTATCATCTGGCAGGCTTCTCAGTGAAAAATTCAATGCTCTCTTGAAATTATATTTACATTGCTAATATGTACGTTCGATCTTTCAGAACTCAATAGAACTGTTAAGATTATTTATTAGGTTGGGGAATAAGTTCATAGCGTTTTTATAATTTCTTTTATTTTACAACGATTTGTTTGCTGTTTGGCAACGGGTAAGTATTCATTCGATAGAACTCTTTCTGCTCTACAAAACTATGTTAATTGTATTTTTGAGTTATTTAATTTTTTATTAGTTTTGAGGCTTAGAAATGGAATACCCAGGAGGCAAAAATCAACATTTTCGACACCTGCTCTTCTTTGTTTTTCATCGAGGTCAAAAAGCTGCCGAAGCAGCCCGGGACATTTGCGACGTGTATGGAGAAGGTGTCATAGGCGAGTCTACAGCACGGAAATGGTTTGCAAAGTTAAAAAATGGCGACTTTAACGTCGAGGACTCGTCCCGCAGCGGAAGGCCTTCTGAATTCGATGAAGAACGTCTCAAATCACTTTTGAAGGAGAACGGTCGCCAAACCAGTCGTGAATTGGCGGAAAAAATGAACTGCGATCATAAAACGATTCTATAATTGATTAACTTATTGATATAATTATTGTTTTTTGTTTAAATAAAAGTCTTCGGTAAAAACGCTACGAACTTATTCCCCAACCCAATATTAATGTTTCATCGAAAAAGTTTAAAAGGCATTTAATTATGTTAGTGTAAAACCAAAATCACACTTTTACCGTCACGCGAAACTTTCTACGTATCTTAACTTGAACAGTGTCAAATGATTAGCTCCTCTGGCAAACATTCAAGGTAAAGGACAAATCTGTAACTGTCAGCTTGTTACAGTCGCCGGAAGAAGAAAGCAGAGCTACGTGAAAATGGTAAGGGCACTTTTCTACCGGTTTCGGTTTCACTCGATGCGAGAAATTGGCGCGATCGATGTTAAAACGTGCAGAAATGAAGGAAAAGAAACGGAGGGTACGTGAGAAGACTCGTTCGACTCTCCACAATGTCGCAGACGGGAGGATCGGCATAGACGTAGTTCGACATTCAGGAAGTTCTTTGAGGAACAAGAAAAAACAAGTTTTCATCGTGTTCGTAAGGGCTCTGTCCGCTTTACGACTGAAAGTGGCTATTCGCTTTCATTCGTCAATTGAATGCAACATTAAAATTTGTAATAAAATACTGTATGTATATAAAACTTAATAAAAAAGCCATAAATTGTAATAAACCTCAGCAATTATTTCAATGCACAGAATGCTTTTTTTAATCCTTTACAGTTTCGCCTTTGGCATTTTAATTATTCTTATTCAACAAAATGTATGAACCATCGATTATTCTTAAAATATCACTATTACTTTACACAGCCATGAATAAAAAAAAAAATAAATGTTCGAGATTAAAATTTCGCTTAGATCATTGCTCGACTCCGAGAGTTTGACTCAATTACTGGTTGCTCGACAGCTTCCGCGACAATAATCCTGAAATTTCTTCTCCGGGAGATTTTATGAACAATAAACGTCGGTTTAGCTTTCTGCTGTCTAAACTCGCGTGAAAAAGTAATCGGTATTTAACCGTGTATAATTCTTGCGTTGCTCTATAAAGGTCTGGGCTGGTCTGACGGGCGAAAGTCGTCCACTGTGTATAAATAATACCGATGCAGCATCCGTTTGAATTCAGTGCACCTTGATCTATCGTCGAAACATCATGGGACGACTGGTTGGTACCTCTTTATCTCTTTCTATATAATTATATTTATGCAATAACGTGCCACGAATTGTGTAATTAAATACTTCCAGTATTTATACAATAATAATTGATCATTTTAATCATTGGACTTTTTATAAATTTAATTTTAAATATTTGGACGTTTTATAAATTCAATCGCCATTTTTCAAGTTTTTAACTGATTTATGAATATTCACGTAGGAACAGAGTGTCGTCGCATTGTTATGCTTCTCGATGGTCCTCAGCTGTTCCGCCACTCGAAGAGAGGACCTCGAGAGGGCGGCAGAGCTTGCAGTAGAAAAGGCGGCCGAGAGGGCTGCGGAGAGGGCAGTGGAGAAAGCGTTAGGTAGCGGGAACACGACGACCGAATCGAAAACCGTTCGTGAATCCTACTCGAGCGTGAGGAAGGTACCTTACCGCGAGGATTCGACTTATGGAGGCCGTTCCTCGTCCGCGGAGGACGAAGCCGAAGACGAAGACTCTGAAGATTGGGTTAGACACTCGAGAAGATTCAGAGCAAGGTCGTTCAAAGGTTGTGTGTCATTGAATATATTCATAGTTAGTTAATTATTATGAGGCTCAGTGTAAAGAATTACCTTTATTAAAATAAAGCCTAAATTTATTCTAACAGATTTAACGAGAATCCCAAGAAGCGACGATCTATCGCTTGAACACGCGCCTTGGAATCCGAAGGTGATCACGATCGAGAAGAAGATCCCCGTGCCGGTGACCGTCGAGAAGAAGGTACCGTACCCGGTGTACAAACACGTACCGTACGAAGTGAAGGTTCCCGTGCCGCAACCGTACACCGTCGAGAAGAAGGTGCCTTACCCAGTCAAGGTTTTCGTGAACGTACCGGTCGAGGAGCCGGAGCCGTACACCGTCGAGAAGAAAGTACCTTACGAAGTGAAGGTAGAACGTGCGGTGCCGTACAAAGTGGAGATCCCGGTGCCGCAGCCGTACACCGTCGAGAGAAAGATACCAGTGGAAGTGAAGGTGCCCGTGCCGCAGCCGTACACCGTCGATAAGGCAGTGCCTTACGAAGTGAAGGTGCCCGTGAAGGTACCGGAACCCTACGAGGTCGAGAAAAGGGTGGCCGTGCCGGTGAAAGTGGTCGTGAAGCGACCTTATCCGGTACCAGTGCCTAAACCTTATCCAGTGGAGGTTTCTAAGCCGTACCCGGTTCCGGTGGCTAAGCCGTATCCGGTCCAAGTTAAGGTACCGGTGGACAAACCGTTTCCGGTAACCGTAGAGAAGCCTGTGCCTGTGCCGGTGAAGGTGCCAGTGCCCGAAGCTTACACGATTGAGAAGCCGGTGACGGTCGAAGTTAAGAAACCGTACGCGGTGCCGATCAAAGTGGTCGTACAGAAACCGTACGAGGTGGTCGTGAAGAATCCGGTACCGGTATCGATCGAGAAACCGTTCCCCTATTGGGTTCAGGTACCGGTACCCGTGTCCGAGGATTGGAACGAGGCGGGATGGAAAGACAGAGGCGATACCAGTGAAAACAGACGAGTAGCCGAGAAACCGATGAAATCTCGCAGGAGATTGAGAACGTAGAATCGTATGACGTCGTCAAACGTTATCGTACGATTTCAATGCTGATTTTACGATCTTTCGTATTTAAGTTCCGTACTTTAAGATTTCTAAGTGTAATGAAACGTTGATTTTTTGTTTGATGTAAATAAATANATGCAGTCATTTTGACTGCTTTTGGGCAATATAGGTATATACTAAGTTTCAGTCTTTCTAGTGTTAACTATCTTAGCCGGTACCAAAGTGTTTTCATTCCACATCGTGAATGATTAAATTCCCATGGAAACTCGTTTACGACTAGTAGATATTCTTTTTTTTTTGGAGAGTAAATTCTTTTTGCGAGGAAGCCGTTCGTGACTGGCTCATTAATATCCTGCTCGCGAGTTCCTCGTGCGTTTTGATGGGTACGCAACGGAATACGGAAAATTCGCCTTTTCCCCGAGCGAAGCCGATGATCATCCTTCAAAGATAATCTGATTAATCGCTATCGTGAAATCAAGTTTTATACACCTTCCGCTTCGTGTTCATAGATAGTAAACCATGTCGACGTAGTTAATGATAATATAACTGAATTATGTCCTCCGGTTTGAATATCGAAATTACGTCTAAATTTATTGGAAATGGAAACACGTTTCACCTAATTCATCAAAAGTATTGCGTTAATGTTCGATTCTCTCTTCCACAATTTCACTTTCTTGTAATTAATACTTAGGTTCCTGAGCAATTAAAATCTAACTACTCGCATTCCTTCCTTGCGGATGCGCCGATTCTTCTCAAAGGGTAAAGACTTTCGTGTAACTATTTTAAGATTCACGTAGCAATTATTATGTTCGAACACAACTACTTCAATTTCCAACAATTAATTTTTTCCGATCGTTAGCCAATCGAATTACAAAATTTTAATCGACAACATTGAATTATATAAACGAAGCGAATGTAACATGAGCAGCAATCCCATGCTACAATTTAATTGCTTATCTTCGCATTCATCTAGCAGGGGCTCAATAAAAACTTACGTATGAAAGTGCAGGAAACGAGCAGAATTCGGTGAGAGCACCCTTCCAAACCCGGTTAACCGTTCTGGGATTTACACACATGCGTAGTTTCATTTGCAATCGATGCTTTATGAGTCCCCCCAAGATTCTCCCACCTCGGCAATTCAGTTTTTGTTCCTCAAGCTTTCTTCGTTAGACCAGAGGAGCCTCGAGGATCATAATGAAAACGTCCTTCCATGGGGACCGGAAATGGAGGGGGCAATAGTCCTGGCGTGAAACTTTTAGACATGGAAGTGGAGAGAGAAAAAGAGAACCGCGAATACGAATTGACAGCGGCGTAGAACAGGCGAGTTTTCTGACAAACGGATCGCTGATCTTTATGGAAATAGGAACACGTCGTTACACTAGTTTCCAGATTTTAAGTTCACGTATGTAATAGCTCGTCGCGAGACTCAATAAGGTTCGCCGCTAAAAGCTGGGCTAGTCCAGGCTGTTTTTACTGATTAGCCAACGCGGAAGTCCAATAAAGTAGAGTTAGATGATCAGCCTAATGTGCACGCTCTCTTTATGCAACGAGAACTAGTCAAAGCTGTGCTTCTCCTAATCTGTTACTGATATCATGCCTCTTCCAATTCCATTCTCTCCTGAAGAAACTCTCAGCGATACGAAATAGTCTTGATGACTTTAAAAAACGTGTTCCATTTATCATAATAATTATGATCAAACATCGTTTTATAAAAATTGAACTTCCCTTAATTAAGGCGAAGTCAAAGTAATTATTCACGTCATTTGGCGGTGATCGATGAAACGGTCTGGTGAAGGGGGGAAGGAGGCGTTGGTAAACATTCGTGTTCCGCGAGCCGTTTCCTTTCACTCTGGAAGAGCCGATCCGCATCTACGCCAGTGCATCGAGTTATGGAAGCGAGCGTCGTGGTCGCTAAGCCGAGATTTTTAGAAAAATGTTTAAACGTCGTGGCGTCGCGGCCCGCTCGCTCCTCGCACGCGCGCTGTTTCACTTTTCCGTGAACAGAGGGGCCTCCCGAACGATCTACGGCCGGGGGAAAGCGGACTATAAAGACGGTGGCGTCCTGGGGGAAACATCCAGTGAAGTCTGGACTTCGACCAGGTATCGGAGTCACCCCGAGACATGAAACTATTGGTGAGTAATCGGAGCACGGCCGATTTTTATGCAAAATAAAACTCTTATAATATCGATAAAAAAAAATGCGTCTTAGATAGACAGCAATTTTTTTCACCTTTCTTTTTCTTCAAATATTACAACATGTACTCAATTCTGATATTCTGGATCACTAGCTTTTAGAAAAATCTCATTCTAATTTCTGATTCATATAACTTAGTAATTGTAAGTTGAACGAAGAGACGTTTTTCATTTTTGTTTCAGATCCCTATTTTCGTGGGCCTCTTGGCCGTCGCCTCGTGCGAGGAGGCCAAGGATACGGAAGCTCAAGAGTCTACCGTAGAGAAGAAACAGGACAAGCGAGGACTGAGTCACTACGAGGGTGGCAGCTACGGAGGCGGTGGTGGTGGTGGTGGTGGTGGTGACTACGGCGAGGGACACGAGATTTCTCTATCTGGGGGTGACGGAGGTGGATACGAGGGTGGTCACGGCGGTGACTTGAGCTACGCGAGTGGCTACGGAGGCGGTTACGAAGGGGGTGGCAAAGTAAAAATAATCACTATCGAGAAGAGCGTGAAGATTCCTTATCCAGTCGAGAAGAAGGTTCACTACCCAGTAGAAAAAGAGATACCGTACCCAGTCAAGGTTCCCGTGCCACAGCCTTATCCAGTGGAGAAGAAGATCCCAGTACCCGTGAAGGTTTACGTTAAAATACCAGTACACATTCCACAACCGTATCCAGTGGAGAAGAAAGTACCATACCCAGTTCACGTGCCTGTGGAAAGGCCGGTACCGCACAAGGTCTACGTACCTCAACCGTATCCAGTGGAGAAGAAGATCCATTACCCCGTGAAGGTTCCAGTACCACAACCGTACCCCATCGAGAAGCCCGTGCCCTACCCCGTCAAAGTCGTCGAGCACGTACCGCAACCCTTCCCGGTGGAGAAAAAAGTACCGTACCCGGTACACGTGCCCTTCGACAGACCATACCCTGTCCACATCAGTAAACCGTACCCTGTCCCAGTCGAGAAGCAAGTACCGGTGCCCGTCGTGAAGCACGTGCCCTACCCTGTCAAGGTTCACGTCGATCGACCGGTAGCAGTGCCCGTGGACAAGCCGGTGCCTTACGAGGTCAAAGTACCAGTACCTGCGCCTTACCCCGTGGAGAAGCACGTACCGGTACCGGTCGAAAAGCCCGTCCCGTACCCGGTCAAGGTACCCGTCGAGCGACCAGTGGCGGTCCCGGTGACGAAACACGTACCTGTGACCGTGCACAAGCCCGTGCCGGTACCAGTTAAAGTACCGGTAGCCGTGCACCATGGTCACGACGAAGGATACAGCGGAGGAGGTTTCGAGGGTGGCAGCGAGGGTGGTAGCTACCAGGGTGGCCACGAGGGTGGCTACGAAGGTGGCAACGAGGGTGGTGGCTACGAAGGCGGCTACGAATCCAGTTACGGAGGTCACTAAGAGAAGGATCGATGGATCCGATCGACTCGTCGGATTTTATTCGAGGTTTGAATCCGACCTGGTGTATTTATTGTAACTGATAGATTCTTTCTCAATATCGGCTGAGGATTAGTATCTATGTATTAGGCGACTTTTGTTTGACCAGGAGTAGAACACGAGAGCGAAAATAGTCGTAAGTAGACTGCGGATCTTCGCGCAAAATAGAAGTTGTAAATGATTGAATGGGTCGATCAAAAGTTATGGGATGCCTTCCAGTCAGCGATTTATTTAGAACGTAGCGTTTTGATACCCTTTGATACCTGAGTATACTAAGAATACACACACACTGTATATGTACGATTTACTGTACGAGGATTCTATGCGTCTACTGGTCGAGCGGTTTGTAAAAAGCTCGAGTCGGTGGACCCGTACCATGTCTTTCGCTTCTTTCTAATAAAACCAAAGAGCAAAAATCGACGGTCTCATATCATTCTATCATTACCTAAATATTATGAAATCTCGCGATCTAATCGAGCTCAAGTGATTAGAAAACAAAGAGCAATTCAAGTCCGACTTCCTACTATTTTCCAACTTTCCGTTTTCACCAAGATTCGCTCCGGATCAAGGCCACTCGCCAGTTCTGCTGGACGCTTTCGTAACGCGAATGTCCAACGCGGAACAGATGATAGGATCTTTTGAATCGACTTTCGCGTAACGCAACGTTACGTCCGTGACGAACGGCGTCGACGTTTCCCGGAAAAGTTTGAAAGCGAGAACGATTCCTCGCGAGTGAATACGTACGTTAACGCGGAAGTTGAGTGATTAACGGAACGCAAAAAGCAGAAAGGAAATTTTCATCGAATATGCACGTAACAGTCCGGAGCCGTCGAAAAATTTCAGCCTCTGTGCACTTTTCTGCGTGGAGAAAGCATCTCTATGCATGGACGATAAGTGAAACTGATCAAATGGATTTCACCGGTTCTCATCGAGAACGTGATAGTTTAGTCCCATCAAACAATTGTACCATTGATATTAATCTGACGATACGAAAAACGTGGTTCCCATTGAATTTATAAATAATAATATTATTATTTATTGGATCGACTGTCTTGTCAATTTTGGTATTGAAACACGAGCTGCTGATAGATCAGGACGCTCAAACTCGTTTGGCTTGTGATTTTGTAGTTATGTCAGCAATGATTATACCATGTTACACGAAAGGATATTTTACTCGCTCGTAGTATTACGTGATTTAATTAAAAATCGACGACTTAATCCTTTCGTTTTTTGAGAACCTTATAAATAGATTATGAAATTTTAAGACTCACCGAATGTAGGGGATGTTGGCAGGTATATGGTACTTCGCTCCAGGATCGAAATCATCCTCGGATCTCAAAACCGGCGGCTTGGTGCCAGTGTACTGTTCCATCAATCGATGCCAGTGGCAATTGTAATCTTCTCGGTTCACGTAACCACGGGAAACGTCCCATCGCCATCTGTCCATCACGATGCTGAACGGCAGCATCACTAATTTGTCCATCGCCAGGGAGAACAGGTAATTGATGTCTGCAGTGGACTCGTCGATGTACTTGCTGCCCAAACCGAGAATTTGCAGATGCCGAGGGGTGCCGACGCTCAGTGCCACGGCCTCACCCACTGCTTCGTGAAACCCTGTTTTAAAAATCGATCTTTAACGTCTCCGAGCGCGGGGAAAGCTGGACAAATTGTTAGCCGATAAATCTGTCAAACTCTCACGCCTGAATCGTAACTTTCTTGTAGGTCACTGTATGGACAGCCTTAATATTCTTTATACGAATTGATTTCCTATAAATGTCTACATGATCATTTAAAGATTCCAAGCGTAATTTAATTGAATGACTATTTCTGGAATAATCGCGAATCTGGTAAAAGCATCCTATCGATTTATCATTATCTCATAAAGCTGTTAACAGTTTCTAATCTTCGGGTCGTATAATAAAGTGGCGATTTTGTTTAAGATGGGTTCGTAAATCTGCTGGACAAGGTCGCAGACGTCGTTTTCATCGGGTTTGAAACGTCGGCTTGGGCGAACGACCGGGCAGCGCGCGGCGGAACGGTGAAAGCGCGATTATACCATAATAAAAATATTTTAACGATCTCGCGTACGGATTAGAGAGTACATCCACTGCGTTAGCGAATCCACCTCAACCGTACATACTCGCTCTCGCTTTCGCGCTATTACCCGTAAAAGTACCTGTGGACCGCCTACCGGAAGCCACGCGGTGCTTACGTAACGACAAAGTCGCATGTGTCGTCCATGGCGAGCATCGCGTGTCGTTACACTTGCCTTGCCTTGCCTCACCGCGCGCCTCGTTTGTCTTACAAAAAGTCATCTCTCAGATCATAGTTCAGTAGCAATTCATTTCCGGATAGACTCCATCATGATCAGCACTTTTATCCAAAGTAATAGATTCATTCCATCAATTTAAAAAATTCATTCCAAGTAGACAGTTTATCGATTAAGCATTCCAATGCGCAGTTTGCACATTTTTATGCAACACGTGCACTGTTTGTAAAACCCGACGATTTGAAGTTCTAATGTACCTGGATTGGCACCGTCCCTGAATTCTCGCGGCAGGCCGCTGTATCGTAAGAAGTATTGGATGTGAGCCATCTCATGATGCACCGTGATCAAGTCCTTCATCGTGACTTTGGTGCACATTTTAATTCTGAAGCATTTCAAATTCCCATTCGTTTTCATGGATTTTACTATAAACGCAAAAATATATTTCAATTTGTCAAAGTACCTGTAGTCTAAACGATTGCAAAAGTCCCAAGCGGAAGCTTGACAGATCAACTGTCGATCGCCTGGATCCGCTATTATGCTTCCTGCCCAAAATTCTGGCGGCATCGCGCTCAAGTTTAAGGACAGGTAAAATTCCTCTGCGATTCTGAACATCTCGATGGGTGTGTAACCCTGTAACGAGATAATTAACGTTAATTGGATTCGATAAATCCTCCTGCGTTATCTCGTTGAATTCATGTAGAAATTTACCGTGAAAGTCTCTCAGCATACCGACTAATTGAGTGAATATTTAAAACACGCGTAAAACAGGATAATAAAGAATGAATTCAAGATCAGAGCAGAAAGTACGCTCGATTTAATAAAATTAATTTTTTGTCATTTAAATGGAAATAAGAATACGTGTTCGAAACAAGAAATTTTATTAGGTTTGAGAGAAGAAAGTTATCTGCATTTGAAATTCTCGATTTCATAGATAAAAATTCGTTCTGGGGAAATAACGAAAGGGTCAGGAGAAATAAGACGAAGGCGGCTGTTAATAGATATAGGGTAACATGGCAATTTCACAAATCTTCGCTTACTTCACCCGAGTTACTTTCGAATCGTAACAGGTTCACTTTCGATTCTACTCGGAAACAATGTTCGGAAATTAACTGAATTCATTAGCCGATGTTAATTCCCTTTTGATAACGGTTACATAATTGCCTCTTACCTGCGCTTGCATTTCCTGCGTCACGTCTAGGTAATTCTTTCCCGGGTATGGTATCGTTACGTCGATTATATTGGTCCAGGATTGTGCCCAAATGTTCCCTATCGATCACAAAATGCAAACGTGCAACAAATATATAAATAAATGAACGAATAGAGAACAATTAAAATTGATGAAGTACCGAGAATATGAGCAGGGAGTGGAGCGTGGACACCGATTTTTTCAGGTCCATACAGATCCCTCATTTTCCTTCTAACGTAAGCATGCAATTCCTCATAAAGTGGACGTATCATCTCCCAAACTTCATCGATGTCCTGCTGCAAGTTCGGTGACTCGTATGGGAACATCCAATACTCAGCTGCGTCAGTGAAGTCTGCACAAACATTTAACAACTCAATTTTTTCTGACGTATTCATAAAAATTTTATGGATCTTTTTGGTTTCTTTAACATACTGTTCAGTCTAGCAGCCTCGTTGTTCAACGAAACGAGCTGTTGGTAGAGGTCCTTGATCCTCATACCGCTCCTCCGCCTCCACTCTGTCCAAACGTACTGCAGTTCATCCCAGTTTCGACTTCTCGCCATGATCTGCGATATGTCTGGAACAAGAGCACTCATCGTCACTTTTATTCAGTAATATAATAAAACGATATCTCCATTTAGATTAATGATCGTCGCCTGCTCGGTTTCGATTTTCACTCAGCTTTCACGATGATTGGCGCGATCGAATCGTGAGCTAAACCGATACAAAGTTGCCGGACACGCGATCCTGATCTCAAAGATACTAATCGAAACTGTAGTTCAATCTAATTGCAAATGTACAGCTTTACATATTTCATGGACTTGAATTCTAATTGTCAGTTCTTATCAAGGAATTTGCTTGAATATCTGCAAAACAAGTGGAAGCTTCTTGACCCTATTCGACCAATGCAATTGCTATTACGTGTTCGTCCTTAAGGCAACGATCCGTGACCGATCGATTTTCTACGGGCGTGGAAAACGCATTTCCCAAGACACCTCGGGTCCAACGATAAAATCGATGGATACTTCAGAAGCTATTACGTTATGCCTCTTATTACTCGTGTAATCTCGAGCTCGAGTAAATGAACCGTGGATTTAACAAAATCGCATCGAAACTTCCGTGTTGCTCGTTTGCCTCTATCTCGTTTCGAACAGCTTGCAGTTCAAGCAAGTGAAAATCGTTTCTAGACACTTCGGATGGAAATTAATTCAACGATCTTTGCAACGATCTGCATTTACCACGATGGATCGCGTTTTCATCTACAGCTCAATCATGCCTAGGCATAATATGTATAATTGAAGACTCGGTGCACAACGAACGTTTGTAAAAACTAGCATAATTTTTTTTTCTAAATCGAAGTCAATCAATTTCCATCAACTACGTACATGTTACCAAATGATTTCGTTCTGAACATTTAGGAATTAAACTCAAATTATACGTGAGAACTGAATAATCTCATGAAACGGGAAATAATGTCAAGGAATGTGAGAAAATCCGAGAGGAATGCAATTAGAAGTATCTGTTTGCTACGGGCGTACGGCAAATGAATTCTGAATGAATTTTCATCGTGGAAACGCCACTGAAATATTCATAGTCGAATCTCGTTTCACGATTAGAGAGCCACTTTCGTTGCGGCGCGTATTCGTGGCCGGCTAACCGTGAAAATTGTATCGCCATTTATTTTCCCCGAGACGCCGCGAATTCTCTCTTACACTCGCGGAACGTTATTCATTACCTGGATAGAGCCGCAGCCCGCACCGGAAGGGATCGTTGTACGCGCAAATGCTAGCCTCGTTGAACACCGCCAGCATGTCGTTGATCACACGATTATACTAAAAAACAAGAACAAACAAACTAACAAGAGGAAAATATGACAGAAGCATACATTATCTTCCTACTTCCATGAGAACTTAATATTAGGAAATGAAATCTATTCTTGACAGACACTTCCTATTAAATCATGGAACGGATATGAACAGATCCGTTTCATTGGCGTTCTATTTTTATGTATTTCCCCTATCAATGAACTGCGGATTTCTATGCGTGTAAAGCAAAGTATATTATTTACTTCTGTATTATAAATAAGTTGCATAAAAGTCTGCAGTCTGTATATAAGATAAATCACAAGGAATTTACCCTGTCTAACTGATCCGGAGGAAGAGCGGAGGGACCAACGACGGACAGAAACCTGAGCCGTCGCCTAATCACAGGATCCCTAATATTGTTCGTATCGATCCTTGAAATTAGGTACCACGCTTGGTTGTGAAAATCTGCGTATATCCTCTGCGCTTCCAGCTGAAAACGTGTTCGATGTTTACTGTGTGGAATAACGTGGAATTCATGGTTGAAGCGTGCGAGGATCGGGTGGAAGGAAGGTAATAATCAGTTCCGAAGGTGAGCGTTCGTGCGGAACTGGTTCGAAGTGCAAATCGACTAGCTTTACCGTTAAAGATAAACGCTATCTCTACCCTTCCTGGGATTTCCGATAGTCGAAAGGAAAATCGTAGAAAGCGAGCGCGGGGCTTCTTTATGGGTCAATGAAGCCGTTTCCGATATCGTAGAATAAAACGAAAGCTCATTGTCTTCTTACTGGTTGAAGCAAGAAATATTTGCAATTCCTTTATAACTATTCCAGATTAAGGATGTATTGGCTATACAGTCAATCCTAAAAGTTTATGTACCTTAGAAAAACGCATTTCCTATAATTAAAAAGAAATCAGATGTCGGAAGAATAATGCTAATAATAAATAGCTACGTGCTAAAAAGTATAGAAGGAAATATCCAATTAAGTATTGACGCTGACGAAAATTTTTTTTTCCAAAATTGCGAAAAATGCTTCAAATAAAAGTTGTTTTCCTTCTAACTTCGATATTTAACGAGTTACGTATGATTATTTGGCATTTTATTGACGTT